CAACACAATGGGGAAACCTCTACCCCCCAATACATACCTCAGTATCGTCAAAAAACTTTGACATAACTCTTCTGACAGTCCTACTAAGGAACATTTGTAGCCTTAGTCCCCCAGCCACTGGATGGGATGCACTTCCCCCTGCCACAGATATAAGCACAGAGGCTGACATTGCACGCATGAAATACTTTAGAAATACAGTGTATGCCCATGCTGATAAAGCATCTGTGGATGATGCAAAATTTAATGGGTATTGGCATGACATCAGAGATGCTTTGGTAAGACTCGGAGGAGCTAAATATGGAAAGGCAATTCTTGATTTAGAGAATGAATGCATGGACCCTGTATTTGAGGAACATTACAAAGAACTTCTTAAAGGATGGAAAAGAGATGATGACAATAATAAAGACAAACTGGATGAAATTGACAGGAAACTTCAATCAATAGAAGAACTGGTGAAAGAATCAGTGAGCAAATCAAAACCAAAAGGTAAATAGGTTAGCAGCAAGGTGATGTGAAGACAGGGAAGGTAAAACAAAATTGGTAATAGAGGAGAAGACAACACATTACAAACTGAGGAATAAATCAAAAGATTAAGAACCACCAACCCTTTTATTCAATCCTTTTTTTAAATTTCCATTCCTCCCCTTTCTTTTATCTTTCTATTTTTCCCTTTTTGTTCTGTTTTATTTTCAGAGCTTTCTTTTCCTTCTTTCCTTTCAGTTCATTATCTTTCTTTTCTCTCACTCCTCATTCTGAATTATAACAAAACAAAAGTAAAGTGCGTGCTCTAATTGGTCAATTCAGCATCCACCATTTGCTCATGGGTGTACGCTGCTGACATGAGCAAATGCAAAGACTAGTTTTTCGCGCGTGCTTAGTCACATGAGATTTGTTAAATAAAAGAAAATTCCTCTGCTACAATGTATTAGTGTTATGTTATAAAACAAAATGGTAAATGCCACAGTGTCCACTATTGAGTTATGGTTACACTGGGGAGGTTTGCTAAGCACTCAAGAAGGTGGAGTCGCTCTTGGCTATCGCCTCGAGCGACTCTTACACTTCTTTCATGCTTAGCAACCTCCTGCGTGCATCCATAACTCAATAGTGTATGCTGTGGTGTTTACCATTTGTTCAGTATCAAAGAAAGAAAAGACAAATCAAGCATACAAACTACACAGTCACTTAATTCAAGAGCCTTTCAGCCGTGGAACATTCTCATTTAGTCTTGAATTCTTTCTAAGAGATATGCAATTAGATTTCTGTTGTTATTCATTGAAAAAGAATCTGACTAGGGTGCAATTGATATCAATCCTTTATTTACCTAATACCAACAATACTTTAATTTCAGATGTTGAGGAACCAACTGAACTTATTGAAAGGATTCGCCAACTTTACCTGACACGTGAAGGGCGACTTTCACCATTTCCTTGGTGTGAGGAGTTCAACTTTGACCTTAATGACATATTTACCATGCCAACCATTGTCAGGAGAGACAAAACTAGACGAACGGCAGCAGAACAGGTAACCAGCATAACTGCAGTCTTCAAATCTCACAGAGAATGCTCCAAGCCCAGAACTGTTCTGATTGAGGGAGAACTCGGAATGGGCAAGACAACTTACTGTCAAAAGATAGCATATGACTGGGCCAATGGTCAAGAAACGGACCCCACTTTCCCAGAAATCAAATTGGTTCTCCTACTCAAATGCCATGAGATGTCAGGTGACATCTGGGAAGCAATTGATGATCAGCTGCTTCCTCGAAACATTGATGAAAAGGCAAAGGAGAACTTCTTCAAATACATCCATGCCAATCAGTCCCAGGTACTGCTGATACTTGATGGATTGGATGAAGCACCATCTAATTTTACAAAGATATTTTCTGACCTTGTTGAGAGCAGAGACCTTCCAAAGTGTCGTGTCATTCTTACATCCAGGCAAGAGGGTAGTGTTAAGATGAGCAAGTTTTGTGACACCTTGATTCAATTGGAAGGATTTGCTTCAGAAAATTCTCACAATTACATCACACACTACTTCAAAGACTTAGTGGCAGAGGGACAAAAACTTTTGAATGACATAGAACAAAATATTGAACTTGGAGAACTGATTGTGAATCCCTTATTCACAGCAATGCTCTGTCTTATTTATGAAGATTTAGAAGGTAGTCTGCCTTCTAGCAAGACTCAATTGTATCTTGAAATCATAGAATGCATTCTTAAAAGATTTTGCCAAAAGCAAGGGTTGTGTCACAGTAAAGGCAACCTAATTGATGTTTTCAAAGAACAGCTGGGACAATTGGGAAGAATGGCCTTGGAGGCCTTGAAGAGAGATATGATGCATATTGAAGAGGGTGAATTAACTGGTACAACAAGAAACTCACCTTTATTTGAATTCTTGTCAGTTCAGTCCAGCAGTAGCAAAAGAAGATCTCATTCATACTATAGATTTTCACACAAGAGTTTTCAAGAATTCTTTGCAGGTTTTTATCTCTCTGACCAAATTTCAAAAGGGGAGACAGACTTTGAGAGACTGCTTGCAAACGAAAGAGGAAACCTAAAGGCTATTGAACCAGTCCTTTTGTTCACAGTTGGTATTCTTGGTCATAAAAGTGAAAATGATGCATTGTCTCTTTTAAAAATCACTATCAAGAATATCAATCTTTTCAAAACCCAGCTTTGTCCAAGTTTTTATCTGAATTTTGCTTTAAAGTGCATTGGTGAATCTTCCATAGAAAATTCAAGACTTCAATCCCAGATGATAAATTTATTGGGCGCAAACCTAGAGCTTCAACAATTAATGATAGGTGACCACAGCTTCCCTATTAAGTTGCTTCTTAAGGCCCTTAAAGTTAACAGCACAGTGACTAGTTTGTGGATCCCTATTCCACTTGGACGCCAGTCTGTCCAGTCATTGGCTGATACACTTCGTGTTAATAAAACTTTGACTACAGTTCTCATCACAGACAATTGCATCAGTGCATATGCTGTGCAGCAACTAACAGATGCTCTAAAGCTTAATACAACAGTGCTTGACTTAGCCCTTTGTGGCAAAACATGGGACAACAATGGAGCCAGGATCTTGGCAGGCTACTTGAGGGGGAATAGAACTCTGAGTGCCTTACGTCTCATCGGAAATGACATTGGTGACACAGGAGCCACGGCACTTGAAAAGGTTTTATGGACTAACACCACTTTAAATGTTTTGGACCTTTGGAAAAACCCAGGCATTGGTAATCCTGGTGGTCTGTCACTGTGTGAAGCTCTGAAAGTTAACAAAACCCTCTCCTCATTAAATTTGTCAGAAAGTGGAATTGGTGATGCTAGTGTTCATTCTCTTGCAGAAGTTCTCAAAACAAACACCAGTCTAACTTCTTTGTCATTGTCAGATATCAAAATAAGTCAACACAGCATCAAGTCTATTGCTGAAGTCTTGAGAGTCAACTCTACTTTGAAAGAACTATATTTCCAGGGAAACAAGCTAGGCACTGATGGTGCCAAGTTGATAACTGAAAGCCTTAAAGTCAATACCACTCTAGACAAGCTTGACTTGTCAAGGAACAACATCAAAGCATCATGTGGTCGTTCAGTTTCTGATGCCCTCAAAGTTAATGTGACAGTAAAATCTCTGTGTTTGGCTGAGAATGCCCTTGGTGCTAGTGGTGTCCAGCTAATTTCAGAAGGGCTCAGAATTAATACTACCCTGACCGATCTGTACCTGTCCAAGAATTCCATTGGGGTGAAGGGCTTAGAATCAATCACAGATGCCATCAGAGCTCATGTTTCATTGACTAGCTTAGAGCTATCACACAACAGTATTGGTGATCATGGAGTCAAAAAAGTTTCTGACGCTCTTAAAGTTAATGTCTCTCTGAAGGAACTGTATCTGTCATCTAATGCCATTGGTACTTCTGGAGGACAGTCAATTGCTGAGGCCCTTAAAAGTAATTGCACTCTGGCTATTTTAGACCTTCATAACAATGTCATTGGTGATGATGGAGCCCAGTCACTTTGTGAGGCTCTTAAGACCAATACCACCTTGACTGAGCTGGATTTTCNCTGAGCAAAGAGTTTCCAGCAATCTGATTGGTCGAGAGGTTCCTTATATGACGCTATATAGACCGCTCCACGCGGTTAATATTAATGTTAAAATAAAATGTTAATAAATGTTGCTAAAATGTGATGATTTTAGAATTTTCTCTGTTGTTCAGAAATTATACCAAAACAATTATTCGCCTCAGGTTCGGTGAATATTGTCGAATAATCCCCTCGACTTCGTCTCGGGGATTATTCAACGATATTCACCTCGCCTTCAGTGAATAATTGTTAAATATTGTCTCATATACCATAATGGCTAAGCCAATAAAAGTCTTGAATTGCATTATCCAATGATCCAGTTTTTAATAATGAGTATTAGCCCTTTGCAATTCACTCTCACTGACAAGGGCTAGCACCTGAAACTTCAGCTTAAGGATCTCTTCATGGTGGCTGATTTACATTATCAACTCAATTTATAATACCAAATTATCTTAAAATACCCCCACCAATGCAGCACCACAGTTTCTTTTAAAACTTGCCCCTTTTATTCATGTCTGTAAACAGTTTAGAACAGGAGAGTTCAGCATGATCAAGTACATGTAAGTAGCCATAACATGATGTTACTGATAACATTAAAAATTAATGTACTTGAGTTCTGTTCTATGGCAGAATGAAAGCTTAACAACATTTGGTTCCATTTACAAAAGTGCTGGGTATGTGATTTAGTTGCTGTTTCTGCTTTCAGAGAGAAATCTTAATGTGTCTTGTTTTTTTGTTCTTGATGTTGTTGTTTTTTTCTTTTAACTTGGCTTTCATTGGATTAACCATAACTTGAGATTGAAATTTTAAGTTTCAATTTTTCAGAAACTTGTTCTGTGATAATTACAATGCTCAACAAAAGATTTACTGCAAAAGACTACGAGTTCTGTGCCCTGAGCATACAAAGGAACCAAAGGTATCACCATGTTGATGAAACACATTAACTTGGTAACTGTCACTTCACTTCAAACTTAAACTCTTTTTAAAATGTCCAAAAGGGTACTGCACTCTACCTAAAAGGAACAAGTAACTCGTGTGCCAGTTTGAAGTAACAGATGCTGTTGCTTACTTTTTAGGAACTTTGGAAACCCCAAAACCTAATTTCAAAATTCAAGTTTTTTGAAGATGAACAAAAATTATGAAAAATATAGAAAAAGCTGAATTATGTGTGCATTTGGTTGGTTTTTACTAATGAACTATTGAGGGACAGATGCAAAGATGACATCACCATTTACAATTTTTAGCTTTTTTGTTATATAAAACAAAAGGATTCCATGTTGCCATAGGTCTGTACAGTAATAGATGACGGAAGACCTCAAAAGGTGCTAAGAACATCAGGAACCCATTCAACTTCACCTTGTGTGCCACCTTTTTGTCGTTACCAGATTTTGACCTTACCTGTGATCCATAACTAAACAGATGTATGGACACTTGAAATCTATTTTTTTTTCAATTGAACAAAAGTCTCAGGGCAGGTTTTCATTTAGAGGATCAACCTTGATGGCATCATTATAAACAGACTTTATCCCTTTTTTTTTTTTTTCAAGATCTCTGCCACTGATGTTTGTGGCTGCCCTCTGGTAAGCAACGTCTTTGAAGAAACAGGAGATTTCTGTCGCGCTTCAAAGAGAAGATGTATGAAACATTACTGCTGGGAGAAGTTACGAAGGGCAGAAATTGATTTGCAACGAATACAGCAGGTTGGTTGTTTCCTGTGTGATGTGAAGTGACATTATGTAATGTAAAGTAATGCGATGTTCTACTTTCTCTTGTCAAAACTGTATAATTACTTTTATCGTAAAATAGTCGTGTTTTGTCATCATTTTGATATCATAGTGAATACACTGTCAAAAATGAACCATAAATGTTCCTCTTACGATGTGGTCACTTCAAATATGAATCCCATGTGACTACATTGAGACGTATGATTTTGGGTTTTTATTATTTTTTTTATGTCTTTCTATACCCTTCTCAACTACTACTCAAGTACTTGTGTTGTTGAAAGGCATGTAGTCTTCTTGTCTGAATAATTTTTCTTACATTTTAGTGGCTAAAACTTGAAGAGGTATATGAACAAGAACGGTCTCTCAGATACGCTGCCACACAAAGAGGAGGAGTACTGGGTCTACTGCTGCATGAGACAACGTGCCATGAATAACATAACCTCCAGCAACATTTTGAAGACTTTGTAATAAATGTATTATTTTCTTCACAATTTTTTCAATGTTTGCCTTTATTTACAAGTTAATCAATCCTGATGCACAACTGTTGGTGAAGTGATTACTGCAGTTTCTATGGGTGGATGGGGGTGGGGCATTGTAAGAAAGCTAGCAAGGGTTTTTATAGACACATTTACTTGTGGAATCCAAGTATGTGCCAGTCAAATCCAGTTATCACACATTGATCTTCAAGTTTCCATTTGCAAAGGGAGGTTACGGGAACAGAGGCTGATCAATTCAAAATCTCCTGAAAAATCTTGTCATCAAAGGCAAATAAATACTTTGCATCAGGTTTTACATTGGAGAACTTAAAGAATTTCCCATTATTTGACCACATTATCAAGACACAGATCTCAGTCTTCTGCATTGCTTGCCCAGGGGCATCAACAAGATTCTGAATGAACTCAACTCCCACAAATCCCCTGGCCTAGATGGTATTCATCCTTTGATCCTAAAAAATTGTGGTGGAACTTACGTAGTCTCCGTCAATTTGCAGTGTTTTTGTGAATAAACAGTTATGTAATGAGTTTACCCCCAAGCTATCTTCCCTTATTCCTCCACCTTTCAAATAGCTATGAAGTAAACTCAGAGATGAAAGACGCAGTGGCCTAATGGTCAATGCACTGAAATCCAGGTTGAAAGGTCTGTGTTCAAGACCTGGCTGGGTCATTGTTTTGTGGTCGTGGGTAAACACTTCACTCTCAGAGTAAAGACTTAACCTTACATAAAAGATAACCACTGAAGGTAATAATTATGATGATGAAGAGACAATTTATTTAATAAAACTGATCCTTGGCTTGTTTTTACATTAACATTTAAAATATAAACCGTTTAATTGTCTTAAAATAATCTGCATCAACAAAGTCTTTCATTTCTTTCCTTGTCACCCAGATGTGATCAAAGTAGCCTTCCTGTAGTCTGACACAACCTGTCACATAGTTCACTTTGTAGAAAAACACCTACAAAACAAAGTGAAGATTTTGAAGACAAGGCCCTTTGCAAAGTAAGACAACAATTTTTGGAAAATGTTGAAGTGTTCCTCTGTAAATGTCTGAGCCCAAAAGGAAAAAAAAAAGACTAAATCTTTTGAGAAAGGTTTTGACTTTGTTTCAAAAAGAGGAAAAAAGGGAGCTGGTTTCATTCTTTTGAAACCATACCAAACATTTCTCTATCACAAAAAAACTTATATCTATGAGGTACCATAGCCTTGCCTTTGACTTGGTACTACTTCAGCTCTTATAATAATTATTATCTTTCTTTTGAATACTTTTGACCTTACCTTGTCATTTTTGTTCTTGTATTTTTTCATCACAGCAATTGGTGCGTTGCTAAGAAACTGAACTTTCAGATCAGTGCCACAAGTTTCACTTAAACTTTCTGATGCTACCTAAAAAGAAATTAAAAAACACAGTTCCATTTAGTTATTGTTAATAGGAGTTGGACAAAACTCTATTAACTGTGTGTTGTGAAAGATAACTACACATTTTTGGTTTGCAGATGAACCCCACGATGAAACCATTTGAATAATAATTATAATAATAATATAATAAATAGTTACGATAGTAATAATAATTAATAATTTAGCAATAGACATTCCACTGGGTGGCTCTTCTTGCGTATTCTTTCCAGATTGAATTAGAATTTGGAAAGTTGATTTTTGCCAAGGGAGGAAAACTGGAGGACCTGGAGAAAAACCCTCAGAGCAAAGATGAGAACCGACGACAAACTCAACCCACATGTTGTAACTTTTTTGTTTAGTACTCTAAGTTTAGTTTATTTTGCCATGAAAGTGATGCAGCCTTTCAAAACCTGGGGAGAAGGCTGTGCATGTGACCATTCCAGTGATAACCAATATCCTTTAGAATCTCATAATTGAAAAAAACTCTGCATTCTGATTGGTTTACAAAGTGAGGTATTTAGTTTGGGGTTGCAAGTTGAAAACGAGGCTTAGTGATATTGTTTCAAGTCTACATATGCCTAACAACTGTGCTTTCTTTTTTATCTCATATCTATTCAATTATGTGATTCAAGAAAAATCCAACTTGAAAACTGATATCAGTTTTCATTTACAATTTAGTGTGGAATTCCCTCCTCAAATAATGAATTTTCCTTTCAAATTTTTCATTACCGTTTCAGATGCCCTGCACTTAAAAAGACAATAGTGTCAGCAAAACCTGTTGAAGAGTGTCGCTGGTGTTTGTAACTTCACCACAAGGCAGCTCCCATGTTACTGAATCCTTTTGATGTCTTACTAACAGGATTAAGTTATCTTGCAGTTTGCGGTGTAATGATTTAAGGTCGGTTATTTTGTCTGCTTCTGTCTGTCGGCTTCCTGGCTGATACATTCTCAATTCCTCTTCTTGCTCCTCCTCAAATTGCTGTTGAGTTATCATGATGACTTAATTAAATTTCCTCATAGCACTCCATCTAGTTAACCTCTCTAATTGTGGGCTAGAGTTCAACCTTTGGTTATGGACATTCTTTACAGGATTCCAAAAAAAAAGAATCCTGTTCTGGTTGCAGTTGTACAAAAGTGGTTAACAATAACCCAGGCTTGAATTTTTAACTTGTCCTTAATTTCTCCCCAAATAAAGTGCACATTATATTAGGGCCTACATTTTGAGGGGTTTTACCTTAATTTGAGGTGAGAGATTAAGAAAAAAATGTAAACAATTAAAACTATTTGTAAAGCTACAAAACTAACTATAACAAATTCTTGGCTAACCTCTGATTAGCTTAATCATGCTTTGAATAACCTGGCCCAGTTCTCTAAATTTTATCGCCAGATGACCAACCTTTCTAATACCCTTTCCCTCTGGATAAAGCTCCTAACAAGCCACCAGTTTAATTCATATCGCAAGGGGCACCTAGGTTCCAGAGAGTATCAAGAGTGACAAAACAACCAGGCATTTTTTTCTGGTCATTTTAAAGTTTGAACCTCTCAGAGAGATTTAACTTGCATCCTTGTCAATCTTATTTGAGGTTAAACTCACCAATTCCCCCACCTCTATCCCTTCCCCAAAAATAAGTGATGTATCTGATCTAATTTCCTTTCTATCTTCATGTACAATATGACTTCTTGGTTCACAGGTGTCCCTTGCTCATGTCTCAAGAAAAGTGAAAGATTAATTCATGAGAGCATTGAGCATTATGTGAGCAATGTTACTGGTAAGTTGCATGAGGAACCATTGAGAATTTGAATGCATTAGAAGGAAGACTATGGGGAGCAAAATATGGTCGATTTACAATGTTTAAAATTAGGCAATGTGAACATTTTACGCATAATATTAATAGAACTTAAGGCAAGAATTCTGTATAACCCCATGCTTAATCATGCATTCAATTCTTGGATACAGGAAAGCAGAGGCAAAACAACAGATTTCCTTTGGGACAAGGGCTTTGTTTTTGATTGGTATGGGGTTATATGGAAATCTTTCCAGACTTACTCTAGATCTCTCCTTATATGTCCTTTGTGATTTCTGGCGATCTCTGCAGTTTTGGGTTTGCTATATCACAAGTATTAGAAATCGACCATATTTCATTCCCCATACTCTTCCTTATAATGCGTTCAAACTCTCAACAGCTCCATGCATAAGTTACTTAACACTGTGTCACACAATGCGTGACGATTTCATGAATAAATAGATACGTGTTTGAAAACCTTAACTAGACTATTATAATAGCTGATTAAAACAACCTTTCTTTCTGACTCCATCATTCCTATTGCCATAATTTCATCATCGTCATCATCCTTCAGCTTCCTCTTCCGTTCTAGAATTCCTTCCCACTCTACTTCGTCTTCTGACAGTGCACTGTGTTCAAGCTCCAGTTGATCTTGAAGTTCTTCATACCGTTTTTCCAGTTCTGACTTCTCTTTGGTGATCTGAGGCAAACGTTGAACACAAACTGCACTAAATATCCTTGGAATCCTTGGTTTT